ATATGAATGGTGGCTATTATATTGCTATTGTACAAAAATGAACATGGCTAACGGCCCAACTTGTCTGCTACGATGTTGGCTGTAACAGGTAATCTGGAAAACCAGTCAAACCTGTAGTTAACAGTTGCGGTGGTGGGGGAGGGGAGTGATAAAGTTGTGTTATCCTTTTTGTTATCCCCAGATTCGGCTTAAGAAAAAGAATAAATGGATGCGGGGCAGGTAACAATGACTAGAACATTCATGCAGGAGGCATTCTGCATGCAGGCGTTGATTGCAGATTCCAGGACCTGTGGTTAGTGGACTCCTACTGATGTTTCTGGGAATTCTAGACCTGGAAGTTCAGGAAGGTAGGCAAGCCTCAGGACTCACTGTCATCACTTGTTCCCATGGGGCAAATGCTTTAGTGGAGTAGAACTCTGGACTCAGGTAGCCAGGAACTCAAATCCTACTCTTACTTACTTGTGTGGCCTTAGACAATGTACGTAAGTGCCTCAATTACCTCATCCATACAATGGGGATTTAAAAAGTGAAGATTCTGCTGGGTGAGGTTGTGGTGGCTCAGGCCTGAAATCCTAGCACTTTGGGAGGCCTTGACAGGTGGGTTGCCTGAGCTCAGGAGTTCAAGATCTGCCTGGGCAACATGGAGAAAACCTGTTTCTACTAAAATACAAAAAATTAGCTGGGCGTGGTGCCAGGCACCTGTAATCCCAGCTACTCAGGAGGCTGAAGCAGGAGAATTGCTTGAACTGGGGAGGCGGACGTTGCAGTGAGCCGAGATCGCGCCATCGCACTCCAGCCTGGGTGACAGAGCGAGACGCTGTCTCCAAAAAACTAAATAAATAAAAATAAAATAAAAAGTGAAGATTCACAAAGTTGTTGTTGTTGTTTTTTTCCTTTTTTGAGACGGAGTCTCACTCTGTCGCCCAGGCTGCAGTGCAGTGGCACAGTCTCGGCTCACTGCAAGCTCTGCCTCCCGGGTTCACGCCATTCTCCTGCCTCAGCCTCCAAAGTAGCTGGGACTACAGGTGCCAGCCACCACACCCAGCTAATTTTTTGCATTTTTTAGTAGAGACAGGGTTTCACTGTGTTAGCCAGGATGGTCTTGATCTCCTCACCTGGTGATCCACCCACCTCAGCCTCCCAAAGTGCTGGGATTACAGGTGTGAGCTACCGCGCCCGGCTGATTCACAAAGTTTATTTGTGTGAAGCACTTGGAGCAGGGTCCAACACATCCCCACAAGAGGTCATGACTCTGACCATGGATAGGCCTGCTCTCTGCCCTTGGCCTCCCAGCCTCCATATGCACCAGACCTTCAGACCAATGAGGCACCTGCCAGCTTGGGCGTTTCATCTGGTATACTGGTTTCCTCCTATTGTTGTATGCTAATTACCACAAACTTAGAGGCTTACAACAGCACAAATGTATTCTATGGAAGTTCTTTAAGTCAGAAGTCCATGTGAACTTGGTTGGCTCCCTGGAGGGTCTTGGGGAGAATCTGCTTCCAAGCTCATTCAGAGTGCTGGCAGCGCAGCTCCATGCTGGTGAAGGGCTGAGGTCCTGGTTTCCTTGCTGGCTGTCACTAGGGTTATTTCCAGCTTCTAGAGGTTGCCTGTGTACCTTGGTTTTTGGCCCCCTTCAAAGCCAGCAGTGGCAGATAGAGTCCTTCTCATGATTCAGAGCTCTCTGACCCCACCTGCCTCATCCCTCCTCTAACTTCTCCGACCTCTCCTTCTGTCCCATCTCTCTGACTCTTCTCCTATGATCTTCTGCTTCTAAAGGCCCATGTGATTCCATAGGGCCCCTCGGATAACCCAGGATAATCCTATTTAAAGTCAGCTGATTCAAATGTTAATTCTCTCTGCAAAGTCCTCCATGGCAGTCACTAGATTGTGCTTGAGTGAATAACCAGGGAACAGGAAGCTTTCGAGTTCTGCCTACCAGCCCTGTCCAGCCAAGACGGTGCCAGAAGCTCCAGTCCTCAGCCTCATTTCTGTAGAGGTGCAGAGAACTGGAACCACGGAGAAGCCCTCACAGAGGTGACAGCCAGTTGGAGACAGAGGGTCAGACAAACTGACTATGAAAGTGTGTGCAGGTAGCAAAGGACAAAAAGCACACAACAGAGCATCAGAAAAGCCCATGCATGGCAGGGAGTCACTATTCTGGTGCCATGCTCAGGGCCAGGCATTTTACCTATAACTATATTTAAACTGCATGACTGTATCTAACTACCCTGGAGAGCAGGGACACTTGCTCCATTTTACAGATGAGGAAACTGAGGCCCAGGGGGAGTGGGGGAACCACTTGCTTAGGTCACACAGTGAATCTGTAGTATGGCTAGAACCAAACATCGGTTTCCAATTAACCAGGTCAGTGCCCTCCACATCTCAGCACCCAGGGGCCCTGTCCTGCTGGAATGATCCACAAAGGAGGGTCACCAGGGACCTAGCGCAGTGGGCAGCTCTGGGATCTGAGGTCTAGTATGCAGAGCTTTTAATTCTGACATTCTCCAAGTGGCTGGGATGGGCAGAGGGGTGAAGCATTCCAGGCACACTTGAAGGGCAGGACATCTGCCTAGGGAGGACACCTTTATCCCAAGGTCAGCGACTCACGTTCCAAAGAGTAATCCAGCAGGGTCTTTTCTGAGACATTTGCCTCAAAGCACAGAGAGGCTGGTCTCACCCATAGAGGCATCCAGACAGGGATGGAGTCACAACCTAATGAAGATCTGCTTTATCTGAAAAAAAGTGTCTGCTGGAGCTGACCCCTGGTCCCATGGAGATTCCACGTCCACGTGCCACACCGGCCGCAGGAGAGGAGACAGAGCGTGGGGGAGGCTCTTTAAATGCAGATTTCTGGGCCCTACCGAGACCCAGTAGGTCAAATCCCAGGAAAGAAGTCCAGGAATTTGCTTCCCCAGGTGCCTGAGACGCAGAGTCTGGCTAGAACATCAGGGGATAAAACACCAGTAGGAGGGAGGCCGTGAGACAGCTCAGATCTGGTTCCACTCACAGGTTGGAAAGACACATTTTTAAAAAGAGAGGGCAGGGCACAGAGGCTCACACCTCTAATCCCAGCACACTGGGAGGCTGAGGCAGGAGGATCACTTGAGCCCAGGAGTTTGAGACCCCATCTCTACTAAAAATACAAAAAAATTAGCTGGGCGTGAGCCTGTGGTCCTAGCTACTCAAAAGGCTGAAGTGGGAGAATCTCCTGAGCCTGGGAGGCCAAGGCTGCAGTGAGCTGTGATGATGCCACTGCACTCCAACCTGGGTGGCAAGAAAGCCAGGCCCTGTCTCAAAATAAATAAATAAAAATTTAAAAATGAAGAGACAGAGAAAGAGCAAGCCCAGAGTGGAGAACACTGCAGTAGGTCAAGGCTGGGTTCAGACACTCTCTGCATGCGGACTGGGAAAGTTACAATCTACTCTTGGGGCCTCAGTTTCCTCTTCTGTAAAATGGGGGGTCAACAACATGCCACTTTGCAAGGTGATGATGTAAGTGAAGAACAGGGTGCCACTGGGCACTCGAGGCTACGGCACAGGCGGTTCTAAATCACCCCCTCCTCACCCAAAGCAGCGACAGCGCCAGCCTTCTCAGCCTGGAATGCACGTTCTTCTGTCTGTCTCACACCCACACCCTTACTTACCATCTTCTTCAGCTTTGCAAGCTTCAGAGAATGGCCCTACAGTTCTTAATGTAACTTCCTCAGCAGAAAGACTAAAATGTTTATTGAGGGGCAAAGCAATTCACAAGGAGGGTGTCTAGCTTCTCCAGTTGTAAGTCCACTCCAAGCAAAAGGGAAGCCAGGGGAATGTGGTTAACCAGGGCAGGGAGACGTGGGGAGTGTGGGGGAAAGTCCGAGGTGGAGACACACAGGGACATGAGGGGGTGTGAGGTGGGCCAGGCACGAAGATGGGAGGTGCAAGGCTGGGACAGGAAGGGACATAGTGGTGTGAGGTGGGGAGATGCAGAGAGATTGGGTGGGGGTGCGAGGTGGGGAGGCAGGGATATAGGGGGTGCGAGGTGGGGACAGGCAGGAAGATGGGGGTGCGAGGTGGGGTCAGGCAGGAACATGGAGGGTATGAGCTGGGGTCAGGCAGGGAGATGGGGTGGTGCGAGGTGGGGACAGGTAGGGACGTGGGAGGTGCGAGGTGGGGACAGGCAGGGACATAGGGGGTGGGAGGTGGGCACAGGCAGGGAGATGGGGGTGCAAGGTGGGGACAGGCAGGGACACATAGGGGTGCGAGGTGGGGACAGGCAGGGAGATGGAGGGTTCAAGGTGAAGACAGGAAGGGACATGGAGGGTGTAAGGTGGGGAAAGGTGGGGACAGGCAGGGACATGGGGGGTGCGAGTTGGGGATAAGCAGGGAGATGGGGGGATGCGAGGTGGGGACATGCAGGGAGATGGGGGACGTGGGGATGGCGACACGCTGGGAGAGGTAGAGGCCAGGCTGAGACCTCCCCGCTCTGTGCCAGCCAGTCCAGGCAGATCAAGGACTCAGCCAGGCCTGATAGCCAGGCAAGCCCTTCCTCCCAGAGGAGATAAGGGAGAGACGCGGCCGGGTGATAAGTGAACTACAGCTGGAGGGTTAGCCGGCACCGCCCACTCCCGCAAGCCTGGCCCCGGGGAGTC